AAAAAAAAAAAAAAATTAAATAAAACCTCCCATGGCTCCAAACTGCAAACTCCTAGAGTTTCTGAGCCCCAAATTCAAGGCCCTCTAGGAACTGATCTCTTTTCACTTACCTCACTCAACACTTCCCCTTCAAAAGCCTGTCACTCCAGCAGAATTGGACTCCTGAACTCACTTTTCTTTATCCACAACCATTTCCTACTCTGACTTACCCAGTTTTTTCCAGTTTGTCTTCCCTCACAGATGAATTTCCAAATCCTCACCCTGAGCTCAAAGGTCAAAGGTCACTTTCAAGCACTCCCTAACCTCTCAGGCAGCTGTAACTTCTCCTTTGAAAGGTACAACATCCCCTCATCCAACAATAAGCAAGTGCCTCCAAGTGCTAGGAGCCTCAGTGTGAGACAGGGGGGGAAACTCCGTGGTGGGCAGCAGCTGAACACTGGCCCTGCCCACAGAGATGACCACAGTCTCCTCTCCAGCCCAGGGGTAGTGCTGCCTTGAGGCAGGAAAGAAAGGCATGTTTAGTATTTGAAGAAACATCTTGGAGGATTGAAAAGGGATTTATAGCTCATACAGAAAAAAGATTTTTGTTGGCTGTTTGGTTTGTCTAAGAGAAACAACTATGTTGCCCGGTCTGGCCTCAGACTCCTGATCTCAAGTGATCCCCCAGCCTTAAGAGTAACAGGGATTACAGGCCTGGGACACCATGCCAGCCTTATAAAGCAAATTTTAAACTAACAAACAGGCCTACAACTAAACACATCAAGGAAAACAGAAGTGGAATAAAAAGACAAGAACAGGAGTCTAAAATGGAACAACCAATTAAGGAAAAGGTCTGCTGCAGCGTACTGCTCAGTGATAGGGTATGTGCTTAGTGTGCCCCTGGTTTCAACTCCCAATACCCCCCCCCAAAAAAAGGAAAGTTAAAAGAAAAGGTATAGTAGTTTCTATAAAATTAAACCAATACCCAACATATGAACACTATTTATTAATCTTCCAAGAGGAATCAAAACATACATTCACAAGCAAAAAACAAAACAAACAAAACTTATGCAAGAATCTTCATATAAGCACTATCCACAATTAGCAAAAACTGCAAAAGTCCAAACATCCACAAACAGGTAAAATGTACATGCAAATTGGGCGCAGTGGCACACTCCCATAATCCCAGCGGCTCTGGAGGCTAAGGCAGGAGGATCACAACTTCTAAGCAGCCTTAGCAAAAGGGAGGCACCAAGCAATTCACTGAGACCCTGTCTCTAAATAACATACAAAACAGGGCTGGGGTTGTGGCTCAGTGATCGAGTACTCCTGAGCCCCTGAGTGAAAAGAGATCAGTTCCTGGTAATTAAAAAAAAAAAAAAAAAAAGTACACACAAATAATGGAAGTTACCCAGTAATAAAAATGGATCAACTACTCAATCATGCAACATTGTGCTGAGCAAAATAAGCTAGATATAAGCCAGGCACAGTGGTGTACACCTGTAATCCCAGCTACTCAGGAGGCTGAGGAGAAAAGATTGTAAATTCAAGGCCAGCCTTAGCAATTTAGCAAGGTCCTAAGCAACTTAGCAAGATCCTGAGATCCCATCTCAAATAAAATATAAAAAGGACTGGCTACATGGTTCAGTTGCTAAAGAGCCCTGGGGTACAATCCCTGGTACAAAAAAAAAAAAAAAAAAGAGAAAGAAACTGTAACATGTTTGAGCCCAGCCTTGGTAACTTGGTGAGATCCTGTCTAAAAATAAAAAGGGCTGTGGGTGTAACTCAGTGATAAAGCACCCCTGGGTTCAATACTGACTACTAGGGGAGAAAAAGTCAGATACAAAAGAATACAACTGTATGATTCCATTTATAGGATATTCAAGCATAGGTACAAACTCAGATATTAGATCAGTAATTGCCTGATCACAAAATGACACAAGATAACTTTTGGGATAATAAGGGTGGTGTTCATGTGAGTATGTACTTGCCAATACCAGTCAAATTGTTTAATTTAAAAGGTGCACCTGGAGTGGGAGTGGTGTATCTCAGTGGTAGAACACTTGCTTAGCACACAGGAGGCCCTGGTTCCATGCTGACCCCACCCCAAAAAAAAGACAACAACAATAATTCAATTATATACAATGTGCTTAGTGTACATAGGCCCTAGTTTCAACCATCAATACCAAAAAAACCCACAAAGAAATAAAAAGAAAAGGCCTGACATTTCTATAAAAATCAAACCTTCACCCACCCAATGAAAATTATCTATGAATCTAAGCAGAATAAAAACACATCCCTCCAAAAAAAACCTTATGCAAGACTCTTCATTTGATTATATACAAATTATACTTCATTAACACAAATAATAAATTATACTTTCAATGCTTCTTTTAAAGAATAAAAAATATATCTAGTAGAAAATCAATTCAGAGCTTCATGTTATAAGATTCAATATGATTAATTTAAAAAATAAAGAGGGGGTGGTAGATTTGGCAGGTGCTCCTGCATTCCAAAGGTGCTGTGTCAGATGTTCCTACCAAACCTCATATGAGAAAATTTATATTTGTGAGGTATGAAGAGGTGATTAGGTCATGTCTCTGTCCTAATAAGTGGATTAATTAATTCATTCATGGATAAATGAATCAATGGGCTAACATCTTGATAGTAGCTCTGTCAAAAAAAAATATTTTTCTTTTTTTAGCACTGGGGATTGAATCCGAGGTGGTACCACCCCTGTCCTTTTTTTCTTTTTCTATTTTGAGACAGCATCTCAATAAGTTGCCTAGACTGGCCTTGAACTTGCAATCCTTCTATCTCAGCCTCCTGAGTCAATGGGATTACAGGTGTGCACTGCCAGTCTTGCCTAACTGTCTCTTGTATGAGGCCCTTCTCTTGCCATGTGAATGCCCTACACTACCTCAGGGCAAGCAAAGTCCCCATCAGCAAGAAGCCTTCACCAGCTACAACCAATCATCCTCAATCTCCAAGCTTCTAGAATGGTGAGGTCAACAAATCCTTATTACAAAAAAAAAAAAGATGCTCAGTGGTAAAGCATTCCTGGGTTCAATCCCAAGTGGGTGGGGGGGAAGGATAATAAGCACAATCAATATCCATAATACACATGATGCAGGATACACCACACTTTCAGGCAACACAAAAGGAACTATTGGCCCTGAGGTCTGAAACACATACCCCACCCACCCCATCCTCATAAAGACTGCCCAAGAATGCTCTGAGAAGAGGTAAAGGGGAGAAGCAGAGGACCCACCCATTTCTTCCACTGGCTCTTCCTCTTCATCCCATCAGTGGGGACATCAGGTAGAAAACCCAGGCTCAGCTGTCTGGCTAGGCACCCAGCTGCCATCAACTCTCTTCTTCCCAGTTCTAAGGAGTTGCTATGTCACTCACCTCTTCATGGGTCCATTTAACCTTGCACTTGCTGTCTTTCTGCTCCAGAACGTCTGAGTCAATGTCCTGGTAGTGCAGCTCATCAAGCTCCTCACTGCAGAAAGAGTGAGCTAAAGGTCAAGGACAGTGTCCACATGCTTTTACATCACGAATGGACTGTGTGGCCAGCAGCCAGACAACTCTAAAGAAAGGTTTGGGGAGGCAGCCTTTTACTTACTCTGCTTTTTAAAAAGTAGGTACACTTTTACCTTCCTCTCTTTAAAAATTTTTTTAATGAAATAAGGTTGTGGTTTGCTTTATTTTCTGCCTTATTCTTTATTTTCAGGAACACTCTAATGATTTCAAAAGCTACAAGAAAATAATTAAGGGCTGGAGATGAAGTTTATTGGTAGAGTGTTTGCCAAGCATGTGTGAAGGCTGGGTTTGACTTCCAGCACCACCAAAAAATAAAAGAACTTCATGATATTCAAAACCAGATTCCTAGCTGAACATGGGGTTGCGTACCTATAATCCTATTGACTCAGGGCACTGAAGCAGGAGGATCACAAGTTCCAGAGCAGCCTGAGCAATTTAGGAAGACCCTATCTAGAAATAAAAAATAAAAAGGGCTGGGGATATGTGGCTCAGCAACAGAACACCCTTGGTTCAATTTCCAGTAACACAAAAACATGATTTCCAGTCAATATTTTCTTTTCAATGAATTTACATTTGCAATGGATATTTTAAAGATAATGTATGCAGGGGCTGGGATTGTGGCTCAGCTGTAGAGCACTCCCCTAACATGGGCGAGGCCCCAGGTTCCATCCTCAGCACCACATAAAAATAAATTAATTAATTAAAGATATATATAGAGGGCTGGGGATGTGGCTCAAGCGGTAGCATGCTCACCTGGCATGCGTGCGGCCCGGGTTCGATCCTCAGCACCACATACAAACAAAGATGTTGTGTCTGCCAATAACTAAAAAATAAAAGTATTAAAATTCTCTCTCTCTCCCTCTCTCTCTAAAAAAAAAAAACTTTAAAAAAATAAATAAAGATATAGATAGACATAGATAATGTATGCAATCATCAAGCACCAGAATTTTAATATTAGTTACTTGGAAGCTGGGTGTGGTGGTGTATACCTATAATCCCACCAACTCAGAAGGCTAAGGCAGGAGAATTCCAAGTTCAAGATCAGCCTCCAGTAACTAGGGAAGCCCTAAGCAATTTAGCAAGACCCTATCAAAATTAAAAGTAGGGCTGGGGCTGTAGCTCAGTGGAAGAGCACTTGCTTAGCATGTGTGAGGCATTGGGTTTGATCCTTGGCACCACATTAAAAAAAAAAAAAAAAAGAAAGCAAGGGGCCAACCAAAAACAAAAAAAAAAAAAAAAAAGTAAAAAGGGCTGGGAATGTGGCTCAGTGGTTAAGCACCACTGGGTTCAATCCTCAGTACCAAAAAAAGAAGAGACTATTAATTTTATTAATTACTTGGGAAAAACATTTTAAACATATTCTCAGTAATTAAATCCATTTTTGTACATCCCTTTTTAATCCTGGCCTACACACTTACACAGTTAACAGAGAGAAAAATCTGTATAAGCATCTGCATTCTAGGGATTTTACTCCTAACAGGCAGTTTTCCTGATCCAAAAAGTCGTATTTATCTAGTTTAATGGCTACAAAATTGGAGATGATGCATACCTCCAAGTTATGTCAGGTGTTCACAGAAGGCTGGTGACCTCTCCTAGCTCTACATAGCAGAACCTGCCTTAAATTACCTTTAACAGGTACATTCCTAGATCAGGCATTTGTAAACTGAGAAAAGCCTACAGATTTCCAAACAAACAAAGCAAAACAGCTCTTGTTCCCTAAAAGGCTTCCTTTAATCTCTCTATTTCTTCCCCTTCTTCCCCAGAACACAGCATTACTACCTAGCCACTCTCACAGTCCCACAGAATAAAGAAACCCTCAGACTCTTAGTTGCAACTGCCTGTGTTTATACCAACCACAAAGGTCAGCTCCACCTATCCTGGAATTTGTCACTAAAAAACCTTGAAGACATGTTTGCCTAGGGCATGACTGGATACAGAAATGAATAAATAAATGTGTAAAGCTGCTGCCTACTGGTCATTAAGAATGGCTAATTTGGGGCTGGGGATATAGCTCAGTTGGTAGAGAAAAGTGTCTTTAAGTCTCATAATATACTGGTCACAGAAGGATCTGGAATTGAGTTTTGCTCTATTGTTCCTGACCCAATTCACAAGTCTACCACCACTGGTAGTATAGACAAAATCTATAAGATTCTAATAACAGAATGAAATTGGCTTTAAAATCAACTGCCCACAAAAACTCCTTGCTGACAGAAATAATCTTTGCTTCGCCAGTAACCAGCACAAGGCCCAGCTCAGCCAATGTCCTGTCCAATGTCCTATCCAGTGTGTGGACATTCTAGTGCTCTAATTTGGTGTAATGAGGACAGCATCTCAGAATTAGGAGAAGTTTGTGAGATAATATACTTCTGTCACCCACAGGTGCTGGCCATTCTCACTGTACCCAAGTAACAGATATGGAAATTCAGGTTCATAGGAGTTATGCCATTTGCCAAATCCACAGCCAGGGTCTGAACTTCCTTAACTGCAAAGTACTCATCTTAAAATCTCCACTTTAAAAGTAAAAGCTTGTTTGTGGTGACAACCACAAAAATTTTGGTGCAATATAACCTTTCTCTTGCCCTTGGATGTACTGGGCTCTGCTCCAGGGCCAATGAGAAGGTTGAGTGAGAAATGGGGCACTGGGGCACAGGACAGTCACAGCCAGCATGACGAAGAGCTGAGGCTTGTAGAGTGCCTGGGTGCAGCAGCCATCCCTCACATGGAAGGGGGTACCAGGAGAGAAGTTACAGAGGACCTGGAGATGGTCTAGGGAAGTGATTCCTGGAGTTAACACTTCCTGAAAAACTCTTCCTGGTCATTGGAGCTGCCCTGGCAAACTGGAGCCCGAGGAAGACAGTCCCTGTGCCAGATATCCTGACCATTGCCCAAGAACCATATGCTTCCCAGTGGGGAGGAACTCTGGGGAAAGTCAGCAAAAAGGGCTTCTCAGATATGTAACCTCAGCCTGTGAAGGCCAGCATCATCCATCTGAAGACCAAGCTAAAGTTATTGGGTTGCACAGACCCAGGGAGGGAACATGGCTGGATCCCACTGACCCCTCTCCCAGACAGGCTGAAAAGACCAGAACTCAGGTCCAGGTCAACTCTGCTTATTGCTTATTCTCTGGAGAATAAGCAAAATGGAGCCGCAATTCCTCCCACTGCCCCAGGGGCTGCTGGCAGAGCGGTCCAGATACTCATCAGTTTCTGTACCTTCAACCCCAGCTGCCCAAAACTCGTGTGGAACCGGAAGAGAGGTCTCTGAAACTAAACCGACCCAAGTGGGAGAGACAATGGAACCCCCACTTGGCACACTCCTCAGTTGGGGAAGAGGGCTCGGGGGCTCTGTGCTTCCCGCAATGTGAGAAGTAATACCTATAAGCAAATGTGAACCACAACTGGGCTTGAACGACAAGTGTACCCCAGTATTTGGCCTCCCATTCGCTGTGACTTGGCTAATCACTCTCCCTCCCCATGGGTGGCCTCCCTTCCCAATAAAGGACTTTCCAGCCGACACTGAGCGTCCCACCCCCACACCGAAATTAGGCGGGAGACAAAATGACATCATACAGGACTTGGTCCTGGTCTCTGGAGACCCGCCTGTTCCAGCTCCCAGGCCCAGAAGGCCCAAGACCGAGGTAGGGGTCTCAAGAGCCCCTTGGCTTTGCGCGCGACCCAGTGTCGACTGGACGGGGACGCAGCATTTTCCGCCAGAATCCCTCCACCACCATTTGGTCGCGGTCGTACCGGCCTCGGCGAGGCAGCGAGGGAAGAGGAGGACCCCAGCCCACCCGGCTCCGCTCACCCGCGAGTCCGCCGAGACATCCCCCCGGCCCGGGCCGCGCCGCGCTCGCCCGCCCGCGGCTGAGCCCGGAGCGGGAGCCGGGCCGGGGTCAGGTCACGAACTGCTCCGGCCGCTCCGGGCCCTGGGCCGTGCTCCGAGGTGTCAGAGTACCCGCAGGTCCCGCCGACCGCTCGCAGGAACTGTGGCCGCCACCGGCGCGCACAGAAGCACTTTCCTATCTCCCGCCAAGCGCTTCGGCGCCGCCCGGGCCTGGCGCGCGAGCGCAGGGGCGGGGCCTAAAGCAGGGGTGGGGTCTCCAGGAGGGAGGAGCTTGCGAGCCGGACCTTAGGGAGGGGCGGGCCAGACCTTAGGGAAGGGCGGGGCAGGACCCGGCCAAGGCTGCCCAAGCCCCAAGCGGTGAGCGCCGGAGGCATCGCCTTGGGAGACGTGCGTCCTTACAGGGTGCCACGTGACTTAGACCAGATTCAGGCTACGTGCGGATCCTGGGCGGCAAAGGAACAGCCCACGTAGCAAAAACTGAGGGAAGGCAATGAGGCATGAGGATGGGAGAGTCAGGCTGGAAAAACCACCTGGGCAAAATCACTAGGCTAAGCCACTCCTCTGTCTCTACAGCTCTCACCCCACCTTAACTGGTGCTTTACCTACCTAAACCGACTGGATCCTCAGACCTGCTTATTGTTCAGACTCAGAGCCTCCCTCCTAAAATGCAAACGAAATGTCTCCAGACCTTAGATTTCTCTTCTCTCCCTGTGTCACCTTAGGGTAAATTCCTTACTCAGTACCAAGGCTTATAGGGTTCCACCAGATGACCACACAGGACCTGGCCAAGGGAACTGGCCTGGCCTCTGCATTTGCCTGGGCCATTATTTGAATTGGAACTCCCTTCCCCTCCCATCAGACCATTTCCTACTTATCCCAGGGGGTCCTCTGCCCACCATCTGTTTGTTGACTTATGCATTTCCCCCTTCAAGCTAGGATCATAGGGAAAGGAGTTTCAAACAGCCTCTCAATTCATCCCAGAAGCCAGATACAGGAAGCCCCCCATCACCCCACCCCTGTACTGCTTAAAGTTTTTTTTTTTACTTTTAAATTCAGTTTATCTTGCACTTAACAAATTTCTAGAGGTTCAGCAATAATTTTTCATTTTAGGTTGTCACTAACCAAATATGTAAGTGTCACCCTGGGAGGAGTGGGAGGGAACTGGAAATGAACTATGAGAAAGGAGTCTGGGGCAAATGTGGCAAACTTGAGCCTTTTAGTGGGGCTTAGGCCTCAGAGTCTTCCAGAAACTGCTGGCCACGTGGGTACGGTTCAGCTAGCCTCTGCAAACTTCATTTACCACAGGAGATGGAAGACTTAAGAGCTAGAAGTTTCCATGTCATTTAATTCCTGACTTCTTCCACCCACTCTGGAGCCTCAAGAAGTAATGCAAATGGACATCCCCCTGTTAAGTTCAGCAGCCAGACTTGCTGGGGTTTAAGTCCCAGCCCACCACTCATTGTTATTAGGTTGGATTTTTTGTGGTTTTGTTTGGTACTAGAGATTGAATTCAGGGCTGCTTTACCACTGAGCTCCATCCCCAGCCCTTTTTTATTTATTTGAAATATTTTTTTAGTTGTCAGTGGACCTTTATTTGTAAGTGGTGCTGAGTATAGAACCCAGTGCTTCACACATGCTAGGCAAGTGCTCTACCAAGATACAACCCCAGTCCCTTTTTTTTTTTTTAATTTTTTGAGATAGGGTCTCAAAATTATTTACTTAGGGCTTTGCTTAAACTGCTGGCTTGGAACTTGGGGTCCTCCTGCCTCAGCCCCCATTGTGGCAGGGATTACAAGTATTTGCATGCACCACTATACCAGGCAATGAGTTGTTATCTAAAGCAAATTACCTAAATCCCCTGTGCCTTGGGTTCCTCATCTGTGAAAACGGGTTTTATCAAAATCTTTTATTTATTTTACTCTGTACTAGTCACTGTTTTGTGTATAAATTTTAATTAATTTAATCCTCATAACAACCCTAGTATTTTCCTCTTTGGCAGAGGAAACTGAGGCAGATTCCCCAAACCTGGGCTGTCTAGTTCTAGAGTCTATTGTAGGGAAAAATAGCCTTCCTCTGCTGCCCTTCTGGCTCTCTCTCTCTCTTTTTTTTTTTTTTTTTGTACTGGGAATTGAACCCAGAGGTGCTTAACCACTGAGCCACATCCCCAACCCTTTTTAAAAATTTTCTGAGACAGGGTCTCACTAAGATGCTTAGACCCTTGCTAAATAGTTGAGGCTGATCTTTAATTGTAATCCTCCTGCCTCAGCCTTCCAAATCACTAGATTATAGGACTGCTCCACCATTCTCAGCCTCTCTGCCTTCTTTGCCTGGGCTACAAATTAAATTTATATAAAACAGATTAACAGGAGAAAAAACATTTAATTACTTACATATGCACAGAAGTCACAATAAATAATGGAGGAATCATATGAAGAAGTGTTACATAATTGAAGCTTCCAAAGCTATAAAGAGGGGTGGGCAGTGAGACAGTCACTGAAGGGTGAGGAAAGGAATCATATAGTGAACAAAGATTTTCTTGTGATGCAGATAAAAATCTCAGATAGTAAAATTTATCAGGAGCAACCCTCTTCCTAATACAGAAACTTTACTACTGTAGGCTTTCTTTATAGATGTAAATTTCTTTTTCAAAAGGATAGTTTTTCCAGAGCTATTCCCGGTGTCTACAGTCTATGAAAATAACCAGTTCAAAATATGCCCAAGCAGTATATCTTTCGGGGTGACACATTCTGGTCTCTTACAGTCATGTTTAAGGGTTGTGTGTCCTGAATCCCAACATCATGCTGTTAATATTTACACTGGTATATACTTTGTAGGGTTCTTATCAAATAAAATAAATATGGGTCTGGGGATGTGGCTCAAGAGGTAGCGCGCTCGCCTGGCATGCGTGCGGCCTGGGTTCGATTCTCAGCACCACATACAATCAAAGATGTGCCCGCCGATAACTAAAAAAAAAAAAAAAAAAATTAAAAATTCTAAATAAATAAATAAATATGTATAAAGCAGAGGGAACAGTCTGGCACTTAAGTACTATTATTACTATCAGCTTTTTTTCGGGGGGAGTGCTAGGATTGAGTCCAGGGCCTCCTGCATGCTAAGCACATGCACTATCTCTGAACTAACCCAGTTTTTGTTGTTAGGCATTATTATTCTGACTTCAGCTGCCCTCACATTTTGTCTTTTTGAGGTCCAGGATGCACTTTGCATGCAGTACACACTCTCATATATTATTAATCCCATTTCAGAAAAGGCAGGACCTGGCAGTTTGGGGAAGATATTTGCCCAAGACAGAGGTAGGGAGGGAGCAGATGCAGAAGTCCATCTGGAATCCGAAACTGGGGCCTATACACTAGAGCCAGGGCAATCTGGGAATCAGTGCCTTAAATCAGGCAGGTATACCAGATGAAATCTGGTGACCTCCACAAGTTTGTCCTCTCCAGTTATCATCTTGCCTACAGACACACCCTAGGAATACTCCAGCATCCTTGGTGCAGCCACACCTGGGAGTGGTCCCTAGACTCAGGAGAGATAACATACATTCTGAACTCAGCCAGGAAACATTTCCTACACGAACCCTCCTTAGACAGGGACACTCCACCTACATACTCATTCCATAATCTGCCCCACTCCAGGCTCCAGACTCAGAGCCTGTCCCTGCACAGGCTAGAGAGAGAGAGAGAGAGAGAGAGAGAAGGGGGGGTGGCGGGAGAGACAAACACTGACTGGTAAATGATAAGTAGGATCACCTGATCTTCTGCCTGGAGTTTTCTCTCTTCACTGAATTACGTTTTTTTTCTTTGCAATTGTGAAGATTAAACCCTGGCTCTCCTAGAAGCCAGGCTAGCTCTCTACCACTAAGCTAAAATGGCAGTCTTTTTTTTTTTTTTTTGGATACCAGGGATTGAACTCAGGAGTACTCAACCACTGAGCCACATCACCAGCCGTATTTTGTATTTTATTTAGAGACAGTGTCTCACTGAGTTGTTTAGCGCCTCCATGTTGCTAAGGCTCGCTTTGAACTCATGATGCTCCTGTCTCAGCCTCCTGAACCGCTGGAATTACAGGTGTATGTCATGGCACCCAGAGGCAGCCAAATTTTAAAGATAAGAAAACTAATAAGACACAAAAGTTATGGAGTAAATTACCCTGATCACACAACTAATGGGCTGGTAGTCGGAAGCAAAGCAATCATAATTTGAAAATAACAATCTGAAAAGTAAATTTGGTGTATTCCGAGAAAAAATGCTAAAAAGACTGAGAATGAAAGCCGAAGGCTAGTCAGGAGTCAATCCAAACATCCATTTGCTTCCCAAACTCACCAATTGGTAGTGGAGACAATGAATAAGCAGAAAAAGAGCTCTGTGAGATAAAGATAAATTGCAAGGGTTTGAGTGCCCACACTCACACTTAAGTGGGTCACTGAAGGCTCTTCAGAGCTGGGTGATTTAGGAATCTATAAGGTGAACAATGTAGAAAACAATACAAAGAAGCCAGGCACAGTGGCACACACCTATAATCCCAGAGGCTCAGGAGGTCCAGGCAGGAGGATCACAAGTTCAAAGCCAGCCTCCACAATTGAGTGAGGCCCTAAGAAACTTAGCAAACCCTGTCTCAAAATAAAATAATAAAATGGGTTGGGGATATGGCTCAGTGGCTAAGCACAACTGAGTTCAATCCCTGGTACCTGAGGGGGAAAAAAATAGAAAGGATGGCTCAAGGAACACGGAATGTATGACAGGGAGGAGGAAGATTAGAAAATTTTCAGTGATTGACAAGAGTTCAGTCATTCTAGACTCCTTTCACATAACCTATCTGATCTATCCATAAATCTTATTCACTCTACCCTCAAACTCCAAATATATCCAGTGCACATGAAAAGGAGCTCGATACTAACATCCTTAGAGAAATGTAAATTAAAACCACAGTGACTTTACCCACTGGAATGACTAAAACTAGAAAGACTAATGTTGGTATTTTACTAATTTTGTACTCACGGTGTTTCTTTCTTTGTTGGAATCTTGGAACCAAAAACAAAGCTGAGGGCTAATTATACAGCAAAGGAAAGTACATTCTTCTGCCAAAGAATAAAGAGAAGCCAGGATAAAACTCCAAGATGAGCTCCTCAACCAAACAAAGGATTAGGCTCCTTTTAAGATGAAGAAGGAGGGCTGGGGATATAGCTCAGTTAGTAGAGTG